AATAACAAACTGGATCACTTATAGCAATATGCTGTTCTGAAAGTGATCAATAGAAGATTCGATCTTATTCTAGATCTTATTACGCACAGCAAGTGATTAACAACAATAATTAGTATTAAAATAGAACAATTATAATAATATGCTAGAAAGACCCATGACAATTTCACTGTTTCCAGATTTGAATTATCCGACGAATCTTAATTCTTCAGTTAATTATTTGAAACGGGGCGTGATTGTTGATTTATTGATACAAATATACAGTGTAACCTGGATACAAGAGACCCGGATATAAGAGAAACCCGGATATAAGAGAGATTTTCTCTGGTCCCAAAGTGTTCCCATACTTACCTAAACAAAATAGACCAAACCCGGATATAAGAGAAACCCGGATATAAGGGACTTCTTCTCCGGTCTCGACAACTCTCTTATATCCGGGTTACACTGTATATATATTTGTAGTTAATAAAGGATTCCTTTTCTCTATTTTTATACTGAAAATGAAACGTACCACAATAACATCCAACAATAAGACTTTCAGACCAGTATTGACAGTAATAACGACAATGTGTATTTTTCTTGTCGTGATGTTAATTACAATATTGGTATTATGTGTGTTAAAAATGTTCTCAGTGTTATTGTCTCTTTTGCTTCTTTAAATGTTTGTACTTACTTGCTTTAGCTTGTTCCGAGAATTTCGTTGTTAAGTGTAACGTTTGAGACCGTTAACTGTAGATTTTTACGGAGCGAAGAAGATACGTCTGTGTTGTTCTTTTTACTACCGCTACTCTTTTCTACTGAACACGCTTGTGGTGGAAGGGTCGTTTTTATAATAATGAAGTTTCAGATTTTGGAAAGATGAAATATTTGATCTTTATTTCCAGGATGATGAAATATCCTTATCATCCTTCATCACTGGTGGAAATATCATCATCATTCTGGTTCATAACAGATTGAATAAGCTCCTGGCCAGTTCGATGAAAATAAAATATCTGTAGAAATTCCCCAATCGCATCGTTAAATATTTGAGCTTAACAACTTTAACAAAATATTGCAATAACAATCATAAATATGAATGCTGTTCGTTATTTTAAGAAGGTTGTAAGAAAAATTTTTATGGTTTTTTTCTTGGTTCTCATTAGTTGTTGCTGCTGTTGGTAGTCCTCAAGTGATGTGGTTTCTGTTTGGCATATCCAAATTGGGTACTTGTGGATTGTCCGTCGGCATTTTAAAAATGAATTTTCCTACTTTTTCACAAATACAGATGTGTAAAAATATACTATTTGCTTCTTAAATTATATTTATTTCTCCAAATATCAAACATTAATCGTATTATTCGGGTGGCGTCGAATAGTTGGGTAGTTGCCTTCACTAAAAGCCTCAATCCTAAACAAGAAATAAGCGATAAAACTCTACTTCTGTTTAATAAACATAGGAATGCTGGATGGGTGATTGGTGAACCTATCTACTCTTATTAACCAGTTCACAGCACAGGAGTCTGGGCGATTTTATCGAGATATCAACTCTAGGAAGGTTGCCAAATAAGGCCCTAGACCCCTTCCAGGTTAAGGGGGAATTGCTAGATTATCAAAACCTCTCTGAAGGTTATCCCAAGAGTTGGAATCAAAGGAATATTAACATGAAATTAGATAACTTAAAATCATTATTTTTTTTTACAAAAGTGTTTATTAGAAAATGTCATGATGCCATTTCTGAGCTTAAGTCTCCCCGTCCTGGGTATGACGATAAACTACATCCGCCAGCAAGGCCTCGGATTGGGAGGTTTTGAGGAGTGTGAAACCACCTTTTAAATTGCTGTTGTTTCCAAGCCCACCCTGATCTGAGGTGGTAGCATCTGTTAGTGTCCCAGCTATGGGTTAATAGTTAAACTTTAAATTGAGGTCAAAACATTAAGAAAGTATAAACATTTTTATAGTAAAAATACCAGCAATACATTTTCATTGTAAAAAATTTACCAGCAATAAATACTTTTTTAAAAAATTGCTAATACTTCCAAAGAAAATTATATTTCGGCATTAAATGACCCATAAGGAGTTGATATACTGCGAAACAAACAAATAATCCAACCTTAGGTCTCTGGTTGGGACCCGGTAGGAAATGAGTATTCAACAGAAATCAAAAATATGTGACGTCCTCTGGTCGCGACGCCAATATGTGACACTGCGCCGTCGGCCCGTGGTCAACTCCCAGTTGCGGCGTGAAGCTGTAAGGTTTCTTCCACCAGCGTTTGGGGTTGACTCTTTGCTACCAGCCTGTGTCCCGGTCGATCTGGTCGTTCCCGGTTCAATACCAGCTTTGTCGTTCCCAGCTAACTTCCAACGTCTGGTTACCGAAGTAACTACTTTGATCTCAAGTCTAACCTACCCACGTTGTGACTTTGATCTTAGGTAGACGAAATCAATCAGGCGTCGGGCCGTAGTGCAAGCTGAATCCGGGGTAAAGGTGATATCGCACAAGCGTGAGTAAAAGAAGCAATAAAACA